TATAGAAGAAAAAGTAGCGTAGCTGATACTAAAAGTTAGGCTTTCCTTAATCGAATGTTTTTATATCAGTAATTCAGTTTAAAACTACTGCAGCCATATGTGTGTTAAGCACACATCTAACTTAAAAGAAGTTCAGGAAGTGTAATATTTAGTAAAGAAGTTCTTTGACTTTGAATTAGTTCAAGAAATAGGACCAAATAAATAGTGCTTATTTTCTCATGCCATAACCTCATTTTTTCTTTTCACAAAAGAGTACCTTTTTATTGATGATCATTAGCAAGTTTAATCTTCTTTTAAGACTGTTTTCCCTTAGCTTTTTTTCTTCATAATTAATAGCAGATAGAAATTTTTTCAAAGTGTTGAATTGAACTATAGTGCCGCGCACAATTCTGACGACATTATAATAAAGCATCTCTCTACAGATCTTGAAAGAATTAGCAGGAAGAAGCTGCTTACATTGCAAAGTGCCACCTAAGAAACATTTTAGAAAAATTTTGTAGCAGACGAGGATGTTAACTCTATGGAGGTAGTGGAATTTTTTAAAATTTTGCAAAAATACACCATAGTATCGTAGAGCTTTTTTTTTTAGTATAAAGCTCTGTTTTTTAATTATTTTTTAATTTTTCACCAATATAACTTTTTTCTTTATTCTCATATAGTATTCTCATTAAAAATTAGCTTACTTACATGTGTAGCACAAAAATAGTTCAGACAATGACAAATGTTTAATTTTTACGACAATTAAAAATTTTTTTGTTAAAAAGTTTTTTCAAAAATTTCTAATTAATTTTGGATAGAAAAAGAAAACTTGCAAAAGAGTGTAGCAATTTTTCAACATATTCCTGCATAATATTTGAAAAATATTTTTCACATTACTGCTTTCAGCTATTAGCTTACGATGCAAACCAATGGCAGTAATTTGATGTTGATTAGTCTTGTCATATAATCCTTAGTTCAGTTAGATAGATGTTGCATTTTTTCCTGTCAAAAAAAAAAAAGCAGTTTTATCTGTTGAGTTACATCAAACTAATCACTGAGTATTAAATTGTCTAAGCTTTTTATGGCATTAAAGTGTTGCTGACTTTTATAATAACAATAACAGTCTACGCTTTTAGCAAAAATAATAAAAAAAATTTGACTATAAGATTTGCAGTTTATGCCAGCAATTTCATTCTTTACATTGAAAAAGTCTATGATTGAAAAAGCTGTAAAACTATCTGACTAGTTTACAGTTATGCACTTTTTGAATTTCAGAAGTACAGACCGGATATGTCAGTATACAAAAACAATTGTAAATATTTAAAATATAGTTTTTTTTTTT